AAAAAAAAAAAAAACATATTTTATACTTTGGGTTGTTATTAGACAATTTACAATTTGGTGGGACTGGCCCTAAATGTCTAATAGTTTAGTTTCAGGATGTACGCTCTTAGATAGAATTGTCTTGATTAGTAGAATAATATGTATTTTGTACTTTTCAGACCAGCAAAGAATGAATTAACAGAAGAAATATCTAACACAGGAACATCGAATGTTAAATTTCAAGACATAGACGATAAAGTATTTCCAAAGAAAGGATTCATAATGAGATCCGCAAACGAAACGGTTATAGTCTCTTCGAATAAATCTAATTAATGTTCCCGTAGATAAATAAAATTTATAAATAAAATAAATACTTTATTTATTTTTCATGAAAGCGAACTAGAATATTATTTTAAATTTTACCAATACTCATACTATGTTACAGTAACTATTTAGACTAGTTTTAAACTTTTTTTTAAAAGAAAAATGATTATATTTTTATGAGTTTTGACTTAGATTGCCATCCAGATAAAAGAATAATTAAATGGTTAAGGTTACGAGCTGTTTTCTATTAGTACAAGAATTTTAAACCAATTGCTTTGACTTAAATGCGGACAGTTAGAAAGTGTCAATCTCTTCTCTCCTCACGTTTATATATCGATAACTTTGTCACAAATATGAGGATTAGATTATAATGTGTATTTCCTGATTTAACAATTAATAGGACTTTTCTAGAAATTACGAAGGTTTTATTTATAAAAGTTCGTGTGTTGTGAGTCTCTTCAGATCTAATTATTTCATTCGTTGGCATCTGCGGTCAATTCAATTATTTTTATTTAATTAAAAATGGCTACTTTAATTAAATTCGTTGATGCATATAATTTGAAATTGTGTAAATAATTAGATAATTTTTTTATGAATAATAACTTATTACATGTTTCCAATTTAGATCCCTTTTACGATTGGATTTGTAACCTGACATGTCTAAATTTTATTTTTTCCTGTTTTCCTGCTATTGGATATTCGGTAAGGTATTTTTATTTTGTCTACTGAAATATTAAATACAATAACTTCTGTTGCGTCTTTAACAATCTACTGGTTTGTAAAAGTTAACAAATCCATTTCTTCTTCTTCAGACATCTTTTCTAACAAAGTAAATTTCTTACGAAACATTTCTTACAGATTTGGCATCACCAGTTCCTACATCTAACAGCACAAATGTAACTAAAATAATACCCACTACAACTGTGAATCCCGTAATAGTGAAGACAATTGAAAACGCCAATGATTCTGTGAATGAAATAGATGACATACCTGATGAAGGTTGGGAATATGAAAATACAACTGCTGTGGACACGCGTAGAATCCTGTACAGCAAACGGGTTCCAATCGGAAAAAGACCTTATATGGTAAAACATTCCATTACCTAACTTGAAACTGTCGTGGTTTTTAAATGTAATGCTCGTAAGATAATGGCGTCTTAACATAATAAGGTTGTTTTAGCTCCCGATATTTCGGCCAAGTTGTATTCATAAGAAACCCTGTGTAACGAACATTAGAACATTATATAGCCTATTAATGTGATATTACGGAGAAATTAAAACAGTACCTTACTCGAGAAATTCCTATTAAAAAAAATATATCTCTTAATAATTTTATTGTTATGAAATTTGACTTTCTATTATTTGCCATTTCTAAGGGCCTGTCAAACAACTCTTGAAAATTGTAACATAACAATCCAACCTATATGAAAATATCGGATTTAGATAGTCTGACAGTGACGTTACTTTTAAGCTATCTGAACCTCTATCAGGCAATGACGGGGCAGGCAATAGAAGTAATGTTTTATCTGAGGGAACACATGTATTAAGATTGTTGAATTTAGTTATTTTCCCAATTAAAAACAGATATATTTACAACTGACTAAAGAATCAGCAAAAGCACACAAGTACAAAGGCTGGCTGTGCGGCGGTGTCATCCTATCAAACTACTATGTACTCACCTCCGCTGCTTGTGTGGAGGACGCGGATCATTTCTACATCGTGTCTGGTACTACAAAGTTCGTCGATAGTTTCGATTATAAATCTGACAACTGCGTTTGTAAACATCGTCGTAAAGTTGTATGGAAGTGCATACCGAAAAGTAAGTAAATATGATTCTTAAATATTTAACAGGGGTAGACGCTAGCAACAAAATCAAATGCAGCAGTTGTCCAGCTCGCCTTCTGCAATATCACGACCAGGACGTTCAGGAGACAGGTGTAAAGTACATATTTTGTACTTTACACCTGTCTCCTGAACGGGAAGGAGAAGTGCAGATTGAGAGAGAATAATTAGACTTGTACTAACTGCTACTGCAATTCATATGCAAATGAATATAAAAACAAATGAAATGCTATCAATTAACTAACCACTTTTTATTTCGTCACAGATTATAAATTCGATTTCCAAGACAGCATCAAATGGTCATCAAATGACATCGCTATAGTGAAAGTCAACAAGCCGTTCAAATTCGGTGTAGTGGAGACAGGCTGCGAGTTCGCCACCGACCTGGTCTGCTACAACAACGTCAGCAGGGAACTGGAGAAGGCCGGCACTAAGGGATACATCTCTGGCTGGGGCAGTGGCAATACTTTTAGAGAGGTATAGTAGAGGATGTTAATTTTGTACCCATTTCGATAAAATTGTTTGACGCAATTGCGATTACGTCGAAAACTCATAAGAAGGTCTTAAGTGGAAAGTGAATTTAAATCCTTAACTTAATACTCAAGAAGAAAGCCAATGCGTACTGGGCCAGCGCAGTTGACTAAGACCTGCTTACTTAAATAGTGTTCTACATAGTTCTCTGGATGGTTACACACTTCAAGTTCAGTTGAAAGCAAAAATGTCATAATACAATGAGAACAAACTTTTTAAATTACTTGACGTTACATCTTCATAAATCTCTCCTAATCCTACAGGGTGTATACCGACGTCAATCAGTGCACATACCAGAGAACGCGAAGTACTTACAAGAGGCAAAAGTGTGTGTAATGGACAACGAGCAGTGCGCCAAGAAGTGGGCGCAGAAGTTCCGCGCCATCATCAACCAGTACATGGTCTGCACTAAGGATGTGATGAAACGAATCAGCGCGATATGCGATGTGAGTATAATAAAATAACATAGAAATATCTAACTTGTAGATTTACAAATGGCAAAGTACAATAAACCATAAGGATTTATTCCAAAGTTTTAGGAGTTTATATATGCGAGTATAGCAACACTTTCCTTTGATTTTATATGTTAAGTTCTGAACTGGTTTGCATCAATACGATCCAAATACAAATATTGGTAATAGTAAATTACAGGTCATAATGTAAAATTGTACAGATATTCTGAAAGAAAACTATACAAAAAATTCCTCGACACTATAAAGAGCTTTCTGGATAAGCCCGGACTTGAGTTTAATTTTAAATGATGCGAGGCTGGTAGCCGTTGTGACGTAGTCTGGCGATTGTAAGCGGCGTCCATTCGTACAATTGTTGTATATGAATCTCTTAACATTCGTTTCCAGAAAAAATATGCAAACTGCACAGATATGGAGAACAGACGAAATGTTGATGAAGTGGTGCCCAGTGAAGACCTCGCCGTCGACCTCGGCAGACATCTGCGTGACCCCGACGATTACACTGCTCGGAGGTCCAGCTTGGGAGGATTCTGTGAGGTACTTCAAAACTTGCAACAAATGTAGGTACAAACTAGTTTCGAACCCTGCAGTAGACCTACGAAAGTTACGTTATCTAAGTTACAGCAAACCAATATTCAACGTGACTTTTTTAGTTAATAATGTGTCACATAAACGGTTTGTCTATCGTACTTCACAGATACCTTATGCTTATATTTATCCGTGTGTCTATTACGCAGAACGACCACGGAGGTCCATTCACAGTGAAGTACAAGGGCAAGGAGCGCGTCATCGGCGTGATATCTGCCTGCAAGATAGACCCCAAGTCGCACAGCTGCCACGGACCCTTCCTCTACACCTCCGTCTACAAGAACAGACAGTTTATATCTTGCGCCATCACTAAGGATATTGAGTAAACATTTTTTTTATTAAAAATTTTCTGTTTAAATTAGAACTGTTTTTATCTGTTAAGGTAACTGCAAATTTGGAGCCGTTTTATGCTTATCCAATTAGCAAATATCATTTTTTGCCTTTAAGAAAGTTATTTGTAGACTTAAATCACGGAAAAATACATAATATCAATTCCCCTACCCTCCAAATAACTCTATTATACGTCATCACAGTCATCAATCCCTTCTAGATCATGTCACATTTCACGCAAATCATACACCTCTTTCTAGATCTACCTCATACTCAAACATGTTTTTTTTCAGAGAAAGTTGTCGTCGCGTTTTCCGCTCGGGCATTACTCACGAAGAATGGTCGGTCAATTGGGATAATGTGGAGTAAGAATTTTTGTACCTCATTTTATTAAGAAAATGCATCGAGTGGTGTGCGCACCTCCATATAAGCTCGTAGGAATCAAAGCGAGTCGTGCGATAGTTTAGTCAAAGGAGTGCGCGCACTATAATAAATTGACGACATGTCTTCTAATGGATAACATTGTCTTTACAGGGAGGATGACAACAGAGACGAAAGGTAATACATAAAAGGAACGAATGTAAATAATCCTTAGATCAAGTAAAGTTTATAAGGCTTTTAATATTTTGGAAAATCATAATCAATTTTAATTGCATTGCAATGTTTTGTCATTTAATATACGTATTTTCAACAGCGGAGAGGATGAAACAGATGAAAGGTGAGTAATTATGTATATAAAAAAGCCCAGAAATTATCGTCATCAGAGCATTGTGTTCTTATATGCAGTGAAACTATAACAGCTACAGAAATGGGGAAATCTTTATTGATCTTAACTTGAACGAGATTGGCACTGGTTAATAATATTCTAATTTCTACATTACAATTTTAATTGTTTCAGTGATGAGCCAAGTTCTTTAAGAGAGAAGTATTTTTTACTTAATTATAATGATTTTAATTAAAAATTTAACATAAATATATGTTGGCATATAGAACCTTCCTTAAAGTGATAATTATTTTTAATCTTTCAGTAAACCGAAGGTTGTAAATCGTAAAGACAAAAAAATAAGCTCCGATGAATCAAGTGATAGTGATGGCAGTAAAGAAACGAAACCCAAGAATATACGAGAAAGAAGCAAGAAGGATGAGAAAGTACCGGAGCAGAAGAAAGAAAAAAAGAATAAGCATGCTAACAAACGTCCGAAAAAGATTAAGGAAGAAAGGAGAAAATCTAAAAATATCAAATCTAGTGACAGACAGAATAGGGACGATACGTTCTATGAGTCCAGTCGCGATGAAAATGTTAACGATCCTGGAGATCTTTAAAAGGCAATATATTTAAAAGCGAAATAATTGTGCAGTTTTACTTCATAGGAATTTATAATCAACATTATTCCTACTGATAAAATCCATCTGATAGACGCAAAGAATCTATCAACAGATAGCTGTGATTAGGCGAAAAATTTAACAAGCTTTGCTTTTGTCTCTATAAGTTTTAATATATTTGGGTAAAGGCTTTTTACAATCCAAATTACAACAACAAGGAGGGCTTCCTTTAGAGTAAGACTCAGCAGTAGTTAAATGTCTCATACTAAAATTGGTCTATGACAACGAATCTGAAAGAGGTCGTAAAGGTAATGTTTACCCTATCATTTTGTTCGAAGTTTCGCGGTAATGTTCTACTTTGATTACTATGGGTATATTAATAAAATAACAGTTTGTTGAAAAGGTTTATTTAGGTTCAATAACCATATCGACTTTAAGACATGCAATAAAAGTTTTTGGCCCAGTGCAATCCCCACTGGGGCTGTCGTAGAAATTGAGAGTCATCTGATATCGACCTTCGTTCGCTTTGTTCATAGGAAGGTATTTTTTATCGATAACTAAGTCGGAAATGGTATAGTCTGCCTGCAAATAAAATGTGATACATACGCAAAAACTTTTAGATTTAAAAAAGGGTAGGGGCAAGATTTTTTTCTTTTAATCCCTCCTTTGTAAGTAAGAAATCAAGCTTCTATTTGTGGATTAATGGACCTTCCGAACTTACAACACTTACATAGGGTTTTAAAGTTAGTTTGTCTTCAATCGAGGCTTTGGTTCCAAATTTTAGATCAATTTTGACAGAAGGTAGCTAATATAGACAGGAATAATAATATTCCTGCCTATATTACCTTACTTAGAAACTAACCTTTAAAGGTTAGTTTTTATTGCTATGACTCCTAGTAAAAGAAATATATCTTACGGGTGGAAGAGGACAAGAGTCCGGTAATCCGATGTCTTTAATGTAAGAATAGTAATTGCCGTCTTCTTTGCCCAATTCATCGCAAATATTGCAAATTTCATGAGACATCATCATTTCATATCGACCTGCTACATCTTTTTCCACGTATGCTTCCACCTAAAAGATTATATAATTTATATCATAGACTACGACTTCGTCCACGTGAAATTAAAGTTTTGTATTTATTTGTATTGAAATAATTAAATAACTAATTGGACCGATTTCAAAAATTCTTTCACCATTAAAAAGCTACGTTATCAGCGAGTAACATAGGCTATGTTTTTTTAACGCGGACGAACTTACAAGCAACAAGTAATATTGTATACTTACAAGAGTATTTTGTTCCATCCCTTTCAACAATTTAGCGTAACCGGACATGGCGGTTGTAGTCTCATTATATCGACTTACTACAACCTGCGAGCTGTCGAAGTAAGCCTCACTTTGTTCATCACCACACACGTATAAAGCAGAGTCGAAGTTCAAAACGTATTCATCGATAATTTCCTGAATAAAAAGTTAAAAAAACATATCTACTGAAAACAAGAACTAGTGTCCATGTAGTAATAAACAAACAGATGACTTGTAGAATTAGAAAGTTTTAGTAGAAATAAGTTAGTACTAGAAAAAAGTGGCAGTAGAATCAAGTATTAGAAGAAAGTACGAGTAGAACCAAGTAGGCGCAGTAAAAAATGGGACCCACCTGCAAGCATTACCTTTCGGATAAAAAAAGAATTGTCCAAATCGGTCCACTAGCGGCGGAGTTATGCCGTAACACACATAAAAAAAAAATAAAAAAAAATAAAAAAAAAAAATAAACATACCGTCGAATTGAATACCTCCTTCTTTTGGGAAGTCGGTCAAAAATAGGAGTAGAAACAAGTAGGAGTAGAAAAAAATGGGAGTAGAATCAAGTAGTAGAAGTATGAGTAGAAACAAGTAGAAAGTGTCAGAATAGAAACTAGGAGAAACTAAACGCAACGGTATCATATAATGGCAATTAGTAGGATAAAGGAGTTGTAACATTAAAAAAAATGTTTCCATATACTTACCTCATCTTCCTCAGTCGAAATTATATAGAAAAAACTAAATATAAGGAATAATTTAATATAGAGCAACATAATGTCAAAGTTAAATTGGATGAACAGAATAACACTTGGTACTCGTCTATTTATAATAACTATTGCGTGTTACATCCGATTGTTACAAGCTTATTTTATCAATTGACTTGTAACTTGCAGATAAAAATCTGTTACATTAGAAAAATTATAGTAATTAGGTATTAATGTTGGTTTGTACTTGTTTGAAAAAAGAAATAAATTAAATACATATTCACAGCTACATTTTGTCTTTTACACGTAAAGAATTTCAGTGCGCCAAAAAGCGTGTTACCAGTGACAATATTTTTAATGTTACAAAAATAAAACAAGCCATCTCTAGAAAAATAGAATTTAATTCAAATCTCAATTTAACGGCAAGGATACATCACATTTGTTAACTAGGGTATGAAAAAAAAAATAAAAAAGTGTTAAATAAATTTATTTAAAAAAAATACAAAACCAAAAAAAACGCTCATCCACGCCATACCAACGTAAGTGTTAATTTTAAACGCAAATATGTAAATAATTTTAAATGTGGGTGTAAATATTTTAACTGTGACGGAAAAATAAAGCTTATAAATCGCATTTATTAAAAATATATTGCAAAGTACAACGCAAAAATTTCGAAAAATATTTCACATATGTATAAAAAATTTATTTTCTATCCACGAAAAAACTCCAAAGTAACTTTTTAAATTCATCTATTACAAAAAAATAGTAGTTTGTATTGAAAAATTTTAAATACCAAATTACAGTTTTTTAGTTTTTTTAGCATCTTATCTAATACTGAAAAAATAAACTCGACAAATTTCAAAGACTTTAAAAAAATAAACGATCGTTCACACATTCGATATGTTAGTTAGCTCTAAAATTTATTTAACATAAATTCAAATATACGCAAGATGGCGTTACAATCAACATGTGTTGTTTCTCTTACATTTTAGTAAATCATATATACTTTATCGAAATTTAATTATAACAAAAATTACGCCCCAAATACTAAAAAAAAAACATTACAAAATGTTCTCTATCACAACCTACAACTTTTATAAGAGCGCAAAATACAAAACCAAATATTTTTTATCTTCAAAGATTATTTTAACAAAAAAAAATACAGAAGGCTCGGAAAAATAAAAAAAAGACATGAAATTTATCAAAGTCTGTAGATTAGATGGAAACCATAGACAAATAGAAAGAAACAGAGAGAAAGAGAGAAAATAACATTAAAGGAACAAGAGCCAAAGGTATTTTTTTAATTGAATTACAAAAACGTAGCAATAATCCATTAATTACCAACTCGCCTTTTTCGTGCGTGAAAATCGTAGTGGAATTAAGTCTTAAAGCATTAATTCTGTAGCAACAGAAAGAGACAAATATATAAATGCTACTGTGTGAGAGAGAGAGAGAGAGAGAACGATACCTATGCGTATATTTAAATCAATAGTTGCCACACTAAAAAACTACCGTAGTCTATTTTAATCCATTTCGGAGTTGGCACAAATATACAACGAGAAAGGCCACCGGAGTCCAAACTATTTTTTATATAAAAAAAGGAAAATAAATAAATCTTATACACTAATCAAATCCATTACAAAACAATTTCTAAATTCAATTCGGACTCCAGTGAAAAAGCACCTTAAAAGTTTTCTTTCAATATCTAAGAGTTAATCACTTAAATAGTGACTATGGAAGAATGCATAGAATATAAAAAATCTATTAAAAATATGAAACAAAGTTATATTATGCTCTCTAATAAAATCTAATAGACTAGAGAAAAATAAACTTTTATATACGTTAGGCGTTTCTTTTTCAATATCCAATTATAATCACAATATCGGACCAAGGCGTAAAAACGAGCAAAACAAAATAAAATAGCCTCTACGGTTAAAAAGCGTCCGTAATTCCATCGCCCTAAAGTCTATAATTAGTCAACAATAGAAAAACGATTCGTTTTCCTATATAAAATCCAATAAAATTTCAACACCGTTACATATCTTTTTAAAAATGCAAAATTAGAGATTCAATACAAGATACCAATCAGCAAAGTTCAGTGTTACCAGTTAACAAAAATAATTTACCAAAAATCACCCAATTCCATGGAAAATAATCTTCAAAAACTAAACGATTTTTGGACTATTCAATTTAAATTTAGTTCGTTTTATTAACATTTAAAATAGTGTTAAATGAAGTCGTGTAAGCTGGCAACACTGCACGTAAAGCGTAAGCTGCAAAGGCCGTGCGCCGGCAAAATGAACCTAAAACTAATAGAAATAAGTGTCGGAATGCGACAGACAGCGCCTGCGACCTTCGTGTGCGTATCATTTGATGTATCACGGCCGCGGACTCAATGGACCTGAAAACAACAAAAAAAAAATTAATATACATATAAAAACTTAGTTTTTTACATAAAACCACTTCAAAGTGTACACATATAAAACACTAGATGACGCCCGTGACTACATCCACGAGAAATTTTAGAAAAATAACTGAGTTAGTAGTTTGTGTGATCTTCCAGACTAATCTAATTCTAGTCCCTCCCCCTACCTAATAAAGAACGGAAACGGATTTGGTGGAAAGACAGCAAACCCGTTTTCAGACTCCCATAATCTCTTTTTAATATGGAGGACGTGGGCTTTTTCATCGTTTTTTTGGTTATTCAGCAAATACAAATATTTTTAATTTTTTTTTAATAATTACAATCTACCACATTTCTATGAAAAGTCGTGAAACCATCGTTATTCGAAGTAAAAAGTGTCTAAATAGTATATTGGTGATGTCAACGACCCGGCGACGTTAAACAGGTGCTCGCCAACGCAAATACTACGATAAAAAACGCCAACGACAAAAATACATTCCTTCAAATTGATACGTTTTTTTCGATAAAACGAAACATAATAGATTTTTTGATACTAGAAAATAAATAGGTTTATCTTATATATTAAGATCGGTTACTGTAAAAGCAATATTTTGAATTAAATTCTTTTAACATAATAATAAGAACAGAAAGGCTACTTTTATATATTTTTACAATTTCAGACAGATAGACAAACAGATCGCTATTATTTATATTTACAAATGAACGCGGTATAAACATAAACTTAGGATAAACTGAGTATAAGAAATATTTTTACTAATACTAGCTTTCGCCCGCGACTCCGTCCGCGTGGAATTAAAAAATAAAAGTGAGTAGCTTATGCGCGTTAGATGTCGATG